ACACAGGCCAAATGGTTCTTCTGGGGAAATATGAATTTCCAGGCAACTCAGCTGTTCAAAGCCTCAGCATAATAATTCAAAAGGCAGAAGGAAAAAAAAAAGTGCAAAACATAAACTAATCCTTTCTGTAGCATCCGCAAAGACAAAACAAAGAGAATACAGTTTTATAATCATCTACCTCATTTGAATATATGTGAGGAAAGCATGCTCAGCAAGTCGCAAAATTTCTACTGCTACAACTTATCTGTATAGAAAAGTTTCACCTTTTGATCCAGTGTAATTCTAGATCAACAGATAGGCTGCAGGTGGTACAACCCTCCGGGTGGCGATCCAGATTAACCCAAGAAAAACACCTGATCAGGGAGTCAGGCTGTTTTGACACTGCTCACCACCTGCCATTTGCTTCCTGGTAAAAGCTCCAACCCAGCTTGCCTCCGTGTTCTTGGGAACAGAAACCTGCCCATGGGAGCAAGCACAGCAGGCAGGGCTGCAGGACTTCTCTCTGGAGGACGTTACAGAGATTTGGTGTGATCCCAACCTCAGCTGTGTGTTTGGCTTCTCTGCCAGAGAGTTTTGCCCATGCAACCCTGCCAAACCTCCTCTGTCATTCAGTGCGAAGCTTCAACTCCCACATGAGCACGCCTTCACTGTCATTTGTAGCCAAACAGCCAGATTTTGCAAGGAAGCAACACAGACACACATGCATTCAGTTCCCATTTGCCTACTCCCCAGCAGCAGGGCAGCTGCACACAGCTGGGGGCAGAGGAGCATAACCAGCATAAAGTGCAGCAGGCATCTGCTGTGTGCCCTCATACCAGGGCCCAGAAGGCCCGTCTGTGTCTGCACCTGAGCAACCACACCAGTAGCAGAGATTAATCATCAGGCTGTTTTCCTTCTGCTGAGAAAGAGACTCGTTCCCTTCTCTTTTGTCCTGTTGAACTGCCATTTTGTCAAGGAATATGAGAAAAGTGTCTTGGAGCCTGGGGCATCAAGTGAGGAGAAAAAATCCCCCCCACTGCAAAGCACTAATTAAAACTCTACCCAGCTAAAGGAACAGAAAGCCATGTTTAGGTTTTAACAGTGTTTGTGGAGAAGGCTTGATACTGGTGATTTTTGAGGCTTTCAGCTTGTTAAGCGCAGCTGCAGAAAGCTCAGGTGCGTATTGATCACACAGTACTGCTGTGTTCCCAGCAGCCTGCAGGGCAGGACTTGTTTTCCAACCTGTACATGATGTACAAAGTATTGCTGTGTTTCCACAAAAGCTGGAGCATTCCTCAGTAAAGCTTCATTTCAAAACCAAGCCAGCACTGGCTGTGCTATGGGGTAAGTCAGGCCTCGGGCAGCAGCAGCACCAGCCCTGGGGCTGGCCCAGCAGTGAGGTTCGTGGATAGGGAGAAACCTGCTCCCTGCAGCCCAGCCTGGTGCTACTGGGGGAAAGCTGGGGGCAGGATGAGCAGAACACAGATAGGATCAGCAGATCTGCTGAGTTACCTCTGCCCATTTGTCTCATCAAGCAGATCCTCGGGCTGCATGCAACATCTTGGCAAACATGAGGTTTGTTAGGATTTTCTGTGAAAGTCCTTCTGAAAGCATGATGCTGTGCTACCATTGGGTTGCTCCCATTACTTTAGCTACAATATAATACTGATGTACTCCATCACTGAGAAAAATCATAAATGTTCCTGATTTATGAAAAGCTTTGTTCTTGCTCAGCCCACAGGAAACTCTTCAGACATGGGGAAATTAGTCAGGCATTTCCTCCATAAGCTGGCTGCAGAAAACGTGACAAAAGAGTAGAACCTGTGTCACGCCTCACCGAGCGAGCTCAGAAGCACTCAGATCTACATCAGAGGGTGACAGCACAAACCAGTAGTTCCAGTTCACCGTGGTTTGTACGCTCCAGAGACTTTTCTAATAGCAAATCTGTTCCAAGCGTCACTTACGCAGCAACAGCAGGTGAGAAATACCCAAATATTTCACTCTGGTAACTCACAGCCTGCTCTGCCAACACGCCCGACCTGTCTTAGTGTGGGCTGGTTAGTCAGGGAGAGCTGATGGGGAGAAACAGGAGGGAATAATCTCATGGAAGGGACAGACTTGACATCGAAGGGAGAAAAAAGTGAGCTGCTGAGTGAAGCTTATGGCACTGATGAGAATAATCCTTTCTCAGACCACAGAAACATTTAGAGAGGAAATGTTGCAATAAACGTAAGAGGGGCATTGACAGGAGACTGTAAATTCAGTTCCAAATGTTTGAGAGGTTGTTAAGTGGACTAATATTAAGTGGGATTATAAATGTAATAGCACATAATATAGCTTCTAAGTAACCAGGGAAGCTTTATATAAACTGACAATGGTGATCTGTGGCTGTGGGACCTTAATAAATTTATGAGAGTTTATTACTGAATTTCATTTATTGCCATCATAGGGAATGCTTACGCATGAGAATGTTACATGAATTGAGATAATTGATCATCCAGGGAAATGTCTAAATGCATTTAAAGGAAAGTTTCAAATAACAATTCTAAATGAACAAGAAAAAAATATGTTAAAAACTATCCAGGGAATATTGTTATTAGCAGGACAGAGTCAAACCCCTTAGGCAAGAAATGTTCCCTGTTACATGACATTTGATCTTGACTGCAGGAGAAGAAAAGTTTTAAATCAGCCCTCCCAGTACAGATCCTTTCCCCAAAGACACAATTGTACCCATGAGCAGATGCAGCATCCCACAGCATCCTTTTGTACTCACATCAATTCACTAGAGGTATCAACACAAGCTCTGGTCGTCCACGTGCCCTAGTTGCAATTTTGCCTGTGTTCAGTTGCTGCCGTGCTCTATGTTGCTGGTGTCCAAGGGCAAGGCAAGGTGGGCTTCTCCAAGCTGAGCACTGCTCAGCTCAAAGGGACCTTGGTGGGCACCTAGCCCAGCCTTGCCTCAGCTTTCCCCAAGGAGAAGCGATGGGGAGAGATAGCAACGTGAGGGTTTTGTGCCCCTGGGCTGAGCTGGGGGGAGCTCAGGGACAGGTCCTCTCCCTGCAAGGCTGAAAGGCCACTGGTGGGTGTGCCCTACAGTCAGTGATGGGCACAGCTGAGCTCCACAAGGGTGGAAGGAAGGGAGAAAGGACAAAAGTAAGAAGAAAAGGAAAAAAGGAAAGTGAAAAGAGTGTAAGGCATAAGGAAAATGGCAAAAGGAAAGCTTCTTATGTGTTGAAAAGTGAGGAACAGAAAAAAAGAAAAGATTGAGAAATCAATCAAAAAGAAAATGTACTTGAGGGAAGGATGAAGTACAGGAATGAAGAAATAAAACAAAAATAGAAAAAAATGAAGGAATAGAAAGAGAAAATAAAGGACAGAAGTTGGTGATGCAGACTCAATTACAGTATTATTGAAGTCCAATGTCAGATCTCACTGAACATAAATTGGTTCTTTTTATGTTCAAGTAAGACTTTTTGATGGATTTTGTGGATTTCCACAGCAGTCCAAAGAGTTCCTGCTTCAATGCCATTGCAATTGTACAGGAGAAGCTGGTGTCTCAATAGATATGAAAAACTAATGGGAGATAAGATTAAAAGGCTGCAGGGTATCTGGGAGACACTAAGAATTAGATATTGGTCAAACCAGCCCTTGGCTCAGGCACTGAGCAAGTTACACAGAAATCTTGTGGACTTCAATGATACCGGTCAAGGATAAGGAAAGAGAAAGCTACAATTTCCCAACAGAACCCTCTTCTCTCTCTTTCCCTGACCTTCCTTTCTTTACTAAGATCTCACTCATCCCTCCAACTCCCCAAACCTGAATATTGTCCCTTATTGCTTATTCACTCCTAGGTCTTAGTGCATCAATTTGCCTGGGCTTTCTCTCAGGCATTTTCATTTGGAAGCTTTTTAATATATATATTCAGTGTCAGTGAGTGAGGGGAGAGTTTTCCACAAGACAGCACTGAAACAGGCAATCAGATCCAGGAGCACTCTTGATTTTTACTGCAGCAGAAGCACTTTTAAAACTCTGAAGAAAGCATCTGGCAAATTAACAGAATATTAAATACAATCAAACGACATCAAGTCAAGAGATCTCACATGTAGCTTTGATGGGGATTTACTGAATTACTGTGTTCATTAATTAAAGACAGCTGCTGACCTTTGCAGCCACTGCCATATAACCCACATTTACCCTGGCTGGGAGCCAGCTAAGAGCTGAAATAGAGGATTTTCCTGTGTGAAGGAGGGCATCTGTAAAGAGAAAGCAGCAAGAGAGCAAGTCTCCTTATATCTTCACTACGTTAGAAGCAGGCAGTGTGACACTGCCCTTTTAAAGTCATGTTTGCATTTAGGTGACCTTTTTCTTTTTTTTTTTCTGTGTGTGTGTTACATTTCTAGTCACAGAAGCATGCATCACATTGGCCCCACGTCATCAGGACACAAACATGGGTCATCACTACCACATGCAGCACAAGAGGTGGGAAAACAAACAGGGAAGAAGGAGAAATTAGAGCTTCTCTTGGTCACTTGTCCTTTTTGCTTTTCCCTTTTCTTTTTATGTGTGCCTGTTCCTTTCTACCCATTAACCCATAATAAAATCCTTTGTTGTCTGGCACTTGCCTGCTTGTACTTCTGAAGAACTGCTGCAAAGTCAGCACAGCAATGTCCTAGCGCCCCGGCGTGGGTTGAGGGTTGCCCTGTATGATGGATCTGCTTCTCCCTCCTCCTTTTGAAGTGCAAATGTAAACTTTCCCAGTCATGAGTCATCATGAGCCTGAGAGACGTTGAATAAAGGCTGGGCGGCTCAATGAACCAATATGTTTCTAATGAAATTGTGCTTTAATGGAAAAATTTCGATCAGCATATTGATGGCGCATCTTTTCCCGTTATGTCCATGTACCTGTTGGGGAATGGAAATCTAGGGCAAGAACAAACTGACTGGAGAGATACTTTTTTTTTTTTTTTTTTTTTTTTTTTTTTTTTTTTTTTTTTTTTGTCTTCCTTAGTCCAAAATAGGAGAGTAGAAATTGTGCCTTGTGTCCTATCCCTGAAGCCTTTGTTCGGGCTTCTTGGCACACAAAAAGTTTAGTGGTGACTGTAGGCATCTGAATCACGGGGATGTTCCGATGATGACACCGAGGAGGCTCCCCAAAGAACAGCCCTAGCAATACCAATTCCTGTTACACACCTGCCCCTCTCCCCAGCCCTGTGCATCCCATGGTGGCATCCCGTATTCCTCTTTCCTGTCCGGATGCAGGTATGGAGCAGAGACACGGTGACGAGGAGAGCAGGCTGGATCCTTCCCATCCTGTCTTGGGTTCCAAGCAGCACCTTGCACCACATGTTCAACTCTCACCAGGAAATCAGCACATTATTTGTGTCCATTTAATTTTAAACATCCCTATTCTTTACTCTGGTACTTTTTTTCTCTTGTCTTGAAGTTGCTTGTCTCTGAAATTGTTGCATTTACTCATCTGAAATGCTGTTTTTAGGATACACATACATACACTTGGGAGTTCAGACACTTTAGAAATCAGAAATCAGCTTTTACGAATTGATGTGTTTGAAGAACCACATGGCAATGGACTCTGAATCTCAGCAGCAAAGGAAAGCATTCCCCTAAGATTTCACTCAAAGCTCTACAAATATCTCATATTTTAATTTTAAAATGTAAATCCTTGTATATTTTCAAACAGAAATGAAACTTCTGAAGATCTCAAAAAGGTCTCCCTTCTCTGAGGGAATCCAAGGTGCATGGTACAGGACACAGTATACAGAAAAATTCCAAAATGATGCAGGGAACACAATACAGAAAGGAATTTGTTCCTTTAGCACATCAGGGTCATAACAAACAGATCTTTTGCCAGACATAATCTTGCAGGTGAAAGTTTTTTGCATCAGAGAGAATGCCTAAAGTACAGGAGGTGACTCCTGCTGTTCACTCTGTTTTTAACTTTATTCCCATCTAAATAATTTTGAAAAGCAAAGATGATCAGAAAAATAAATCCTGAAGAGTACAGGCAGCTGCAGGATTAAAATGATTGATGCACCTTGCACTGAAAGACATTTGAGAGCGAAGGCTGAACAAGCTCTGGATGTAGCTCTAAGTCCTCTAATGGGTTATCCAATACTAAGTCTTTTTTTCACAGTTAACGAAATTGTCTAAAAAATAAGAAATCAGTTGAGTGCTTTCAACACAGATTGGATCTCAAACAAATACAAAAGGCTCTTTTTTCTTCTTACAGGGTCATTTTCTTATACAGGAATGGCTCTGGGCATGATTCTGATCTAAACAGGAGACGAGCTGTAGTGTCAGTGAGCTCAGTAGGAACCAGAGGCCTGGAGTTGCTGCCTCACTCAGGAAGAAGTCCTTTATTTTGTGAGAGGTTCCTGCTGAAGACAGAGTAGCAGGAGTCATGAACCCTTGCACAGGTCAAAAAGATGTCTCTGCTCGCAGTTGGTGCTGAAGTGAGGTAGGATGGATGACTGCCCCACATCTCAACTCTTGTGAGGAGCAGCATGTCACACTGACAGAGGAGCTCCCGACAGCTCACCCACCTCTTCCCAGAGGTCCTTACCAGTTTGCCAGCTTACATAGCCCCAGGGATGGGGGGCAGCACAACACAGCGGCTTCTGGTCATTCTTTGAAAGTGGTTGGCATTTACTTCAGCTAATACCACTTTTTTGTTGCTAAGTAGAAAGCATTTCAAGGCCCTGAAAAGCAAGGAGGCATGAAAGGAAGGGTAGTAAATGAAGAAGAAGAGAACTTTCCGTGTGCAAAAACTTTTTACTGGTCACGGGTGTGTTTTGAATTGTAACTTCAATTCTCAGTGTTCATGTTTTATAATAGGCTTTCTTTTTGTGAGCATTTGCCATTTCTGCAATAACTTTTATTTACAACTTTAGATAAACACACAGAGACTTCTGGCACATGTGGGCAAGGCATGAAGCACAGTGGTGCTTACACAGCCTAAAGTAAGTGTGTTTGCTGGCATAGCAACATCACATTTACATTTAAGAGGGCAGCTTCACAGGAGCCCACCACATGTTAGCTAAAGTGCACTTGAAGAAGGCTGTGCTTGTGACTTCTTCATTCTTTGAAAGCTATTGCAGAAGGGTTGGTAGGGCTTTGAAATGATTGATAATGTTTGGTTGTTGGGTAAATGATTATATAGCACAAGTATGGAGGAAGAAATAATAGAAAATGTTATTCGTGTGCACTTGAATTTTTAGAAAAAACTCTGCAAATGTACTGTACGGTCTAAGAAACAGAATTTAATGGAGGATTATTACCGGTGATATTCAAAGATACGATCAGTCTTTCTCTCAGACGATGTTATGTATTATATTGCAATCTTTTCTACCATTTGTAGTGCTTTATAACATTTCCTCCCATTTTTCATATGAGATTAAGACAAAAGTAGATCTGTCATGTTCTGTACGGCAGAGACTACAGCAACTAGGACCTCAACAACCTCCTTTACTCCTACTTTTTTTATACAGAAATAATGAAACACGATGAAATATAAAAATAATTCAGGTATTTCAGAGAGCTAGATAAAATGTGTTATTTGTACGCCTTCTTGTTTCAAAGAACATTAGCCTGAATTTAGAACAATTACCAGTCAATGTAAAATAATACATAATTCTACACCTAACTTTGTTATGAACTGTAGGCTTGAAAGGCTATGAAATTGCTGCAATTACACTCTCCCACAAGAGACTCATTCAAAGAAAGATTACAGTAGATGATCTGAACAATATGGCAAAAAAAAATCACACTAAGCAGCTGGTATGTTAGGATGGCTGGAATATTACATCTAATACAACAGGTGGGAAAACACATTATGCATGTTAATTGGAATATTCATGATGCAGACAGGGCTGGAGTTACCACTTAGGGGAAAAAAAGAAAAAAAAAAAAGTAGAAATTTTACAGTTTCTTCATTAAAGAACTTGGATGATCGGTCACTAAAACTCTGATTCATGATGATGCCACTTTTTCTATTTGAGGCTTAGATATGTTACATTTACCAGACTTAAAGGAACAGGTTAGTGCAGAAAGTACACATATTCCCTTCCTCCCCCCACCAGAATCTTGGCATGGAGTTAAATTAAAATTACTACATTTAAAACATTAATGGAGAAAGAAAAGGAGGAAACTTGGCTGAGCTACATTAAACCTCAAACATTCCTGAGCAGTGCCATTAGCTTCAAAAAGTGCATCACTGAAGGGAAAAGATAGTTCAAAACCAGATTGAGATACTGGAAGGAAGCCTTCCCACAACCTAAAGGAAAGTAATAAAAATGACAAATCATGACAGCCATGGAAACAAAATCTAAACGGTCAAAATAATAGATATTTCATTTTTTAAATACAGTCAAACAATTTAAGTCTCAAGGTAATAGTAAAAATAAAGAGGTTGATTCCCATTTCACAAAGGACAACTACCAACAGGACTAACTAAACTAAACGAAAATTAGGGCAAAGAATGAGAAAGGTTTTATTAAATAAACAAGACAGAGCAATGGAAACCTCCAAATGAACAACAACAAGAATACATTCCTAAGTTTTTGAAGAGGTACAAGACAAGGTCTAACAAAAGCTAAGAGGAACAACTTATCTGCAGTATGCTTTGAAGAATGGTTGCGTAGAAGACTGAAAACATTTCCAAAAGCACAGCTCTCACAATATGCAGTGACGTGGTGGAGCACTTTGCCTTAGAAGTTTTATAACAGCACTAACAGAACAGAACAAGTTGTAAGAACTATCAAAATGTCTCCCTTCCACATGATAAAACAGGGAAGGCTGACTGCTTCTGTGATCTGAACTGCAAGATTTGTTTGAGTCTGACCAGGGAATTTAACCAGTGACTTTATAATGAGATTAAATCCTTGTTAAAAAAAAATGAAGAAAGAAATAAAATACAGCAAAGTTAGTTACTGAATTTTAAGTCCTGGTCACCAGCAGGAGGGACTTTCCTTGACAGAGTGTAAGGTCCTCTGGTAAGTCAACTGAAATGAAAATTACTGCCAGGTTCTATAAAGTCCCAGCTTTGTACAGGATAGTAAATCTTAACCACACCACAATCCATATTTAAGAGGAAAAATACAGTTATTTGCATGGATAATTGAATGTACAGCATAACTGCAAGTATGGCAAGGTCTCTCACTGAGTTACCAACAGCGTTTTGGAGCCCTTTCTCCATCCTGAAAATGTGATTCTACCATTATATCTCCATATTATAACTCCATAATATTCTTCCATTTACTACAGATGCAAGTAGGCATCAGGACGGATTGCCTGGTTCCCATCATCTAGCTTCCTGTTAATATTTTCCATGCCAATGTCTGGTTTAGACTGAATTATTTGCAAATGGTAGGTAGCTCTTCATACTTTCTGACACTGGGAATAGCCATCCCATACTCTGACACAATTTGTAGTTTAAGGGTAGCTGCATCCTGGGTGCAGAGACCTCAAACTTTACATCCAGAGAGTACAGGATTCGGTCTAGACACTAGTAAGAATGGGATCTGGAAGCAGATTCCCTCTTGTCAACGTGTCACTGGCAAAAGACTGAAGTGGAAGACCAACTGTTCTGCAGCAGTATGTACACTACTATGGAAAACAGTACTTAAACTATACTAAAAGCAGTCCCATTTTTAGGGGCTTTATTTTAGGGGGAAAAAAAAAATGTTTTGTAGCACTAAAATAAACAGTAGTTCTAGACCTAAGCCAGCCTGAATTCAGTCCTATAAGACTGATGCTGATATCTTCACCTGAATCTGTTCCACTCTTTTATGGTGATGATGCAGTCTTCATTTCACATGTATGAGATCACATTAGGAAAAAAGTGAGACTTTCTTGCAGATGAATAATGACTAAAACTAGAAATGACCTTGGCAGACAGAAACAAATGTAAATGAAGAGAAAATGAGAAGTATGCCAGAAGTCTCTAATAATTCCATGGATTAGGTAACTTGCTTGCCCTAGGGTGAAAGCAGACACAGTGAGAACAAAAGATCTGGCTTGAAGGACTCTCTGATTTAACAATACTTGATAGCAACTCGGAGCAAGAAATGTGTCTCAGTCACTCCTGAAGTTATCAGCAGATTCCCACTAGGCAGTAAGATTAAGAGGCTTTTTAAACATAAAGCTTATGCCACACAGAATTAAGCAGAGGAAAAAGAGTGCTGGAGGAAAAAAATGCCTACATTTTATTATTCATAATTTGAAAAGTTCTCAGAGTATGGATCAGCTATCACAAGCATCCTGAAACCCCAAGGTTGTGCCTGTTTTCATGGCCATCCAAGTTGATTTTCCCCTTTAGAACAAATGAAGGTTTGCCTCTCATTTACAGTAGCATGGCAACCAAAATTATCTTTCAGTATCCACACCTTTATTTATGAAATCTTGTTATTTCTGCAATCATGTAAAATGACTTGGAGCGTGATGATAATCCAATGTCATTGAATGATTTGGGAGTACAATCACATTGGTGATTTTAAAGTTACCCAAATGACAGTACAAGGATTGTGATTGAGAGTATAAGGATAAGACCAGAAGGTATTGGGATGAAATCAACACCTTCAAAGCAGTAATGTGACCAGGAAATGAGAAAAGAAGGCTAAGCTAGGTGTGTTACTGAAGATAAATAGGCTTATTTTTCTCCAGCATTTCATGGATCAATTTTCATTAGCTTAGTAGGAATCTGCTTGGTGGTATGTCTGTTGAAGATCTTCTTTTTTCTTTGTGTACTGCACTGTCCTTGCTGGGTCAGGGAGGGAGGGAGGAGTGTGGTTTCCTCTGCTTAAAGGACTTTCTCTGTAGAAGGTCTCTATGGATATGTAAATAGAGATTTATGTTAAATAAGAGGAGATTGAGTTTCTTAATTGGTTAGGAGAAATGCTTCTCACTCAGCATCAAAGAACCTTGTGAAAGTAATAAGCATTTTTGTAGCCTCAGAGTTTTGAACTACAGGTATTTTATTTGATTATAGAAATTTTAAATGGTATGAGCTAATCAAATTTAAAAAGCAAAAGAAATTACTAATACTCTGAACATTGGAAGACACGTGGATATAAGCCAATAAAATGGAGACACTTAGCTAAATAAATAAGTGTCTGGTGAATATTATCTAAATGTTTCCCCCCTTAGGAATCCTGCTAAGCATGATTCAATTTATTAATATAGTTTAGTAGATGGGATTTCAATTATGAAAATATAGTAATACTGTGAAGCAAGCAAGTAGGATCTTTCTCTAGGTAATGTCTTGCTGATTTGGTTACACACTAGGTTTACAAAAAATATCAGCATGCCTGTGTATGCAGGAAACATAATTCAGCATAGTGGACTTTCTGCCAGCATTATGCATGTCACCCTGGGACTTAGTCCAAATCACCTTAACAGGATTTTTTCCATTCCTTTTAAGTGCTAAAACATATTCTTCAGTGCATTTAGTACCTCATTCAGAGTGCATTTAACACATTAAGACAAATTAGTCAGCAGTGTAAGGTCAAGAAATGCAAACAAATTTGCTGCAGACATGACACATTAATTTTCAACGCTACTGTATCATGGTCCTTGATTTCAGCTGATTATGGAAGTCTTCTCTGAAAGCTTTCCTCTTAGTTCTGTGCATTTCCTTCTGTTCCCTGTGGCTGAGTACCCATGGAACATTTTGAAATTCTTGGATGAAAGATATTCAGCAAAGGCAGGGATCCTATCTCACATTGCCCAGCAAAATAGTCAGCAGCCCACAGCAGTTTGACTCGTTCTCCGCAGATTCAAAGTCATCGTAGTTGTCACTATAACCTTGACAATTCTCCGCATTATCCAGTTCTCTCCTTCTTCAAACACTGCTTAAAATCTTCAGCATGTGAGTCACCCTGCCTTTCTAACAAGAGTGCTGAGCCACGTTGAAGTGATTTCATTAGAATTCTCTCCAGGCTGGAATAGATTATAATAAGATTACTGTCACCAGCAGAGAGGAAACTGCAAAGGTAGATAAGAAATTCTGAAGGTTGCTGGAGGTATGAGGGATGCTAGAAAAATAGGACTCATTCAAAATAAATAAACCAGTCAAATCCCCTTAGGAAACTTAGCAGTAAAGTTAGCAATAAAGTTGCTAAAATGGTTGAAAAAACTCTTGGTTGACTTGTGGTAGAAACCTTCCACCTTCTCTAGAAATGCCAGTGGAAAAGAATTTGCAGATCCACGTGAATTTACAAAGAAAGACCTTGAGGTTAGTTGCTTAAAACAAGTTTATCTAACTCTCAGAATAAAACTGTAGTAATCTCCAATCATATCTAGCACTATGATTTACTTGTTAGAACAATCCAGACTAACAGGATGCTCAAAACTGATGAAGTATGCTACAGTTGGATCCAAAATTATTCCCAGGCACATGAGCAGAGGTACTGGAAGGAAGGAGCCAGGAGACTGCAAGAAGAAGGTACGAGGTAGCACCATTTCTATCCCAGTTCTATATAGACTTGTTGATAAGCAGCAATAAAAATACTGATTTCCACTGGAAGTCAACCCATAACATCTTCACCCCCTTGAAACATTCTACAGCTCCTTGTGCGCCCACACACACTTGAAGGGAACAAATTCAAAACATAGGCAAAGCCAATTGATTGTCACCTTAACATCCTTCCTTTGCTATCATTCTAGTTTAGCTGCAACAATTAAGAAATTTAACAGCAATTAAGATGCAGGTCTACTGGGAACTGCTGACAGTCACTGTAGCCAATACTGTCTTTCTGTAGCCTCCCATCTGACTGCATCCACTTGCTGCTTTTTCTCTGTATTTATGTTTCTGCTCGTTGGGAAGGAGTCACCTTTTCTGTCTTTCTGCTTATAGATGGAGTACAAACAGGCTGAGCTGCCACCATGCCCCAGCACAACAACAACAGTAAAGCATTTCTAGGAGCCAAAATCAGGCAGAAAGAGAAGAGCACAAAAATTTTGTTCCAGCCATCCTTTGTATTTAAGATCGGAGACTCAGTAGGACTGTAACTGGAGCACAAAACCCCTTTGTGCTTATTTGCTGCTGGGGCAACAACACGAGCCTAGGATTTTGGTTTGAATGTGCATTTCATTATAAAGAATGGCTTTATTCAAGATTTCTCCCCAAAGAAACACATCTACTCAACTTTCCCAATAAAATCTCCTCATTCCACAAATGAGTGAGATTTGTCAAACCTAACAAAACAAGAAGCCCTCTAATCCTGAGAAAGTTTGTAACTTGAGGGGCAAAGAGAAATGGCAAAGACGAGAAAAACCAACATAACACATTTGATGTGTTCTTTTTCGCCACCGTACATTCCACTTCCATAATAAAACACCCTCTCTTGTCACTAGTTGTAAATATAATAAATGTTCTTACAGCTAGCTGTTCCCCGCCTCTTATTTTTCAAACACTAGAAATACAGCATGTACTGTATCTTTATAACACTTCCCACAGATGATGTTCCTGGATGAAAGGTATGGCAGAGACAGAAGCGTTATCCTGCAGAATCCAGCCTGGTATACTCTGGTACCTTGTCATTGTAAGCACATCAATCAAAACCAACCAAACAACAACAACAAAACACACACAAAACTGAACAAATAAAAAACCAACCCACAACTCTGCAGCAAGCAGTTTGTGCGGTTCCGACACACCCTCGCTGTACCTTCTTCCTGTTATGTACATCACTACATTGAATTTTAGTGCAAATCCATCCAATACAAAAAATCATGAAGACAACCCTGCCTCTAGCGACATAATTTTTACTTCAAGATTATATTTTCATTCCTTGATGTAAACATTAAACCCCTCGAATCCTTACAAATATCACTGAAACACATTTGAACTCCAGTGAAACAGAACACACTACTTACGTTGCTTTCTAATTACAAAGTAAATGCTTGGTTTATTGTTCATTTTTCTTGCAACTTCAGCTCAAAATAGTGCTCTCCTAAAGTCACTTATTATTTCCTAGAAACACAGTAATTTATAAAAGCCTGAGCTCTGATGTTATGTGAATTCTCTGACCTGTGTTTATCATTTTGTTTATAAATGAGGATGTAGGACAGAAAATTGCTGAACAATATGCAAGTGTTGGTATAGATTTATCTCTACTAAATACGCCATCTTTTTCTTGAGCACAGGGTACAAATTTGCTTTTCATACATACTCACTTTCACATTTATCAAAGTGCTCTTTAATCCTGATTCAGCCAATAAATATACTCACATGAGCTTTTGTACCTGTGGTGAATGTCACAGTTTACAAGAACCTGCTTCATTAATTACAGGACTAAGACTTCGGACTACAATGTGCACTTCTCCTTTTCTCTGGAGTCATTGCTGACACTTCCATAACACTACAACTGCAGTAGGTTTGTTTTATTTGCAATGTAAGTTTAAGGAAAAGAATTGCTAAGTACATGAGCACATGGTAGATATCAAATGAATCCAGTGCACAGTTCTGAGCTCTCTTAATCCTGTATCTGCTGAATTCTATATGGGCGATCCTCTGGTAACAAGACACTGCAGCTTCATCAGATGCATCCGTATGGAAACTGCAGTAGGTAATTCAATCTACGTGCCCATTCAGCCCTTGGACTCTCTCTTGAGACTACCAAAGGCAGTAATTACTGCCAGGGTTATTTTGAGATGTGGGGATGTGGGTGCTTGCTCACTACAAGTACAGATAGCATCATATTCACAGAGACCAAAAAAAAAAAAAAAAAAAAAGACTACAACTAGCCAGGAAAGGCAGGATTTAAATAAAAAGAAACAAACATTAAATAATAATGAATAAAAAATGAATCCATGTTGCTTTACCTGTCCTTTTACTCAGTCCTTTTGCTTAGTAATTACTACCCAGAACCAGGATTTTTCATTGTTCACCAAAGAATATTAGTCCTGTAAATAAAACGAAAGACAGAAGGGTCTTCAAAGCAAGGCTGTGGTAATGGTCAGAAATTTCTATCCCTCCAAAATTATGTTTTTTATGTTTTATCATTGATTAGATCTTCCTTCTTGGGAAATTCATTTCAAAACATACTTTTTTTTGGTATGTCGACCATTGCTAAATATATAAATGGAGCTTTTTCCACTCTTGAAATAGCCAAATTGACATGGAGATGAAGCCTGTAGGACTTGCTTTACAGGTCCTCAGTTTATCCATTCACAACTACAGTGCTGGAAAAGCTTGCTGCTTGGTCAGGTCTCCCCTAATCCTGTAGTCATGGCTCTCAAGCAGACCAGTAAGAGAATCAATGTTCTTGTTCTTCCATCACAGAACCAGGGAAAATGGAGTTGAAAGGGGAAATCACTTTGATGATCACCTTACTGCACAGTAGGATTACCCGTGCATAAGACGCTCCTGCCAGATTGGCATTTTACTTGAAGTTTCCAGTGATGGAGAGCCCACTCTGAGGCAGAACTCCAGTTTCACTATCTGTACCATTAGAAAACTTCTCCCTGATGTTCAACGTGCTCCTCCCATGCTCATCTGTTACACCCAGAGCGAACCCACAGAAAAGAATGTTCCTCTTTTCTTGCTAGCTACCTTCTATGTGTGCCTGACAACTATTTCTATGCATGTCATGTACCTCCTACTGGTCCAAGACTACCATGCTGCTTTGGGATGGAGAAAGAGCTTTCCATTCCCTCTTGCTCTTTAGCACATCAATCATAAATTGGTCCTGACCTTATCTTAGCGCATGAATTTCTCTTTTCCCTGTTGTTTGTTTGTTTTTCCTGAGCCTTGCCTTCACTAAGATGCCTTATTTTAGGGGTGGTGGGAATCTCCATTCTCATAGCTTATCAGAATTGGACTGGACAAAACCCTGAGCAACTTGCTCTCATGGCAAAGCCCTGCTTTGAGCAGCCAGTTGGACCAGATGACCTCCAGATGTCCCTTTCAGGCTAAATTATTCCGTGATTAATATGTGTAGCTTGGAACATTTAGAATGAATGTCCAGATTAGCCTTTACAAAAGTATCAGCTGTTTCGCATTAATTGCCAGGCAATGGATTTCATGTAACATCCTTCTCCTCTCCCCATGACAGATGAATCATTATCTCATTATGAGAGGTGTGACTTTACAAAGCCCCGTGCAACGGTGCTTATTTTCTGAACAAGTATGTCCTGAGGTTTAATTGGGTAAGGGAAGTACCCCTCCTTTTTCCTCATTTAGACCCAGTCAAAAAGTCTGTTTCTGCTTACCTATTCTGATTGATTGCTGCTGGGTTTTTCCATTTCAGCTTTTAAATAGATTTTCTTTCCTCCTCACAGAGGCTTCTCTGCTCACAGATATTCAGCTTAACCTTCACATCTGCAGAGCTGGACCGGCCTCAGCATTAGCCAGCGTGAGTTGTCTCCTTTCCACTTTGTGCTTTCCAGAGACAGAGAACACAGCAGGAATGACAGCTCTCACTCTCCTGGGTGGCTGAGTCACTGGCCCAAATAAATGAAACTCCATTAATTATGAAGGAGTTGGCAATAAATAAACAAACTCTCATCTGTGAAGATTTGCTTTATTCAGGTTTAACCAACCAATTGCTCCTCCGATAACTGTTGGGGTAAATTAACAAGATTTTACATTGCAACAGCTGTACTGGAGATCACTTTCTAGTTCAGCTTTTTATTACTGATTGCATTTTAGTGGTGATAATACAAATAGCCTAGCATTTATGTAAGAGCTCTTGTCCCTTGCTCCCTGAATTTATTTTATTTAAAACTCTTCCCTTTTTTTTTTTTTTTTTTTTTTTTTTTTTTTTTTTTTCCACAGCAAATAAGATACCTCAGGGTTTTAATGGTCAATTCTCTTTTCCTACCATTTGTGGGCATTGTAATGCAACAGAGGTAAGTGCTCTGCCAAAATAAATAAATAAATAAATAAATCTGCATTTCTTTTCCATACTCACCCAGCTAGGACCAATCAACTATTAGTTAGAAAATTAGATTGGAATCTTATAGAACATGACTCACTTTTCCAAATAACGTGATCATGAATTGAATGGGCAAAGGTACAAACAGTTCAAGATGGTATCTTTCTGCCTGTTCTGACTCTAGAAAAGTCACCATCCTGAAGTATGTGGCAGTCTCACTACAGATTTCTTGGGAAAAAAATAATTTCAAGGCGTTTCCTATAGGTATGAACGAAATGGTGTAAAATATTTAGTGTGCCCAGGGAAACCAATGAAATGTAATGATTGTAATATTGTGTATGTTATGTACAAGACCTCCCCTGCACTCTTAAGCCTGTAACCTTGTCACATAGCCATTTTCTAGCTGTCATAGGACAACTGTGGAGTGATGCTTCCTGCTTTGCTACAGGTATGAAGCTGTGCTTTCCAAAACACTGTCCTTGACCACTAGCTTTCTGTGTGCTATTCATTAAGTTTTAGCTTCAAGAGCTGATTAACCATAGCAAATATGATCTCCTGCTTATCTCCTGCTAAATTTGGGTTTTAAAAAACGTTACATATCTCAAAGCACAATTACCCTCTTCACTGTCCTCATCTCCATATATGTACCAGAAAATCAATATATTTATATCTTTTGTTTGATATTTCTCACATGCAGGAAATACTTGAAGAAAGTCCATGTTTTATTGTCTTGAAGTCATAGGAGTGAAATAATGAAGATAACCCTATGCTGCTAGGAGAGAGAGTTATTTTGAAAATAACTGCACTGACTGGAGGTTCATTTATTCCTACTTTTTCACTTCCCTCTCTGCTGGGGCATTTTTAAGCAACCACCAAATATTTGGAAAATTTTCTAGTTAAAAAATCCCCAGGGCTCTACAAACAAGGTGCTGACCTGTCTTCCAAAGAGATCACTGTGTTGGCTAGTCACGTACTGTACACAGGGTACAGTACTCACAAAATTTACATACCTTCATTGCAGCTAGTAAGAGTTTGGAGAATTTGGCACAGCTGGTCTCCTACCAGAGCAAAACTGATGAAGGGTAAAGCTGTCAACACTTCCAAAACATATGTATCAACAAGCTACATAACTGCCTTTTTTTTCTTGGTGGGCAGTCTCTCAAGGATAAGTTACTACCCAGAGAGGAGGGAAATAAGGTGTTGAATGCTGCTGCAGATGGTGTCACTTCATGCTAGTCAAAACCCCAGTATCACACCACATCCAATGAGGAGTACTGCTTTCTGGGGATAGGACAGATTGTTTCACTCACCCAGCTTGCACATTGGCTACTTGACTCTGAGACCTGCATTTCTTGCTTGGATTACACTCAGACTCCAGGCAGGGCATTAATAGGGTTGGAAAATGGCAATCAGTCCTTGTCATGGGAGGATTTGCTCAGTGGTCCTCAAGTAGAGCACAGAGCTCGAGGGACACTCTCAAACACTGGTTGACTTAAAGACAGCAGCAGCCCATCATCAGTCGTGGTGTTTCCATGATAATAAAATCCTTATTCTAGCTTGAACTGTAACAATCCACATCTGTTATTAAAACGGTACTCCTCAGAGCTACTAGGTACATTCTCACAGAAGGTCATTTATTACTGATGTATTTTTAATAGAACAACTGTCTCTAAGGAAATCATTGATCATTGCAACTAATGACCAGCATATTACAGAATTTAATTAATAGTTGTATCAGCACAACAGCTAGCCACTTGGAAAAAAGAGTTTCCTTGACCTTTAAAGCAATTCTAATTCATTTAGAAAGTACCTATGTTAGAAGCCAGACAAAGAAAAGTCAAGATCTGGGCCTAAAAAAACTAATGAGAACCCATTTGGATTCTGCAAAATCATTGCAGAACCATTATGTGTATAATCTACTGTTACTGCTCTGTGAAGCTGCAGCCAAATGAAATGGAAGATCCCACTCCCTGCTTCTACTCACGTTTATACCTACGTTGTGGTGGTGTTCAGCCCCACCCATACGACCACCAAGCCTCCCAGGCCCACCTCGGTTTACGCTCACTTGGTTAGCTATATCTCTGCCCACACTGGTAAGGCCTTCCAGCCTGGGGGCGACACAGGACCCTACAAGTTCATACGGGTAAGGGCTAACCTCTCTGCTGCCTTGGTCCACCACATAACACTTGGCTTGAGGATCCTGCAAACACCCAAACAGTGCCCCTGCTGCTAAAAAAAATACTTTCTATTAAGTTCAAGTTGCATAAAACAATGAGTAGGCTGGGTCATGGCCTTCCAGAACTATGCTTTTATAGCACGCTCTTGTACTGTCACCTGTCTTACTTTAAGCCTTTAAATAATCTGTTTGCACATCCCCCTGAATGGGCAAGAGTAAGTACGTGTCACACTGACATTGAGTCAAGTGAGAGAGCAAAGTCAGGGGAACAGCAGGATGCCAACAACAACTGGAAAAAAGACCTGTTGGCACCAATGTAAAAGGACCTTGCAGGAGAAAACATAGCTTAAAAATGTTCTTACACATCTGTTGATTGCATCATCAGCTGGTGGGAAGTTTGGCTGATTCTTCCTTTGAGTATAACAGCAGAGATTAGGAAGATGGAAAACGTTTAAAATACATTTAGAAAAATGAGGCAGAGCAGGAGAAACTGGAGGTAAGAGCTCTGAAGAACACATGAATCTGAAGCCCTATGAAGCAAAAAGAATCTCCAGGCAACACTAGAGATCACAGGAAAAGTCACTTCATGCAAAAATCAAAAATACCATAATCCTGAGATAATCACGGGTGTTATACAATCAGTACAGAACAAACACAGCTCACACAGACTGTTTACAAAGGTAATCGTCTCTGCACATGGTTCAACACAAGAACACAATGGCTTTATTTATAGGTGTCTATTCTAAATTATAATGGTCCTAATGTAACCTTGGTTTATTATGTGTCAGATTTTCTCAACTATATATTTTTTCATATTCATACAGTGCCTTGAATTCCAGTAATGTATTTTGAGAGCCAAGTGGAAAGAGCACACTGGGAGGGACCAGCAGAATCTCCCCAGACAGACAACATTACATCCACACTGCTGCTGCTGAGACCGTTCCCATGGGCAGGCAGCAGCTCTGAGCTGGTCAGCTGAGAAGCACTTTTCACAGAGTACTTCCACCAGGTTCTCAAAAGTTCTTTAAAGAAAGACTTCACGTTGTGCACAACCTGGTAGCGAACCTTTGCAGCTATGGGATCAACCGGTGTGTCTGAGCTTGGCTGAGCCTGCTCAGTTCTTCCCCCTGCAAAGCAACCCACGCGCAGTTGCCATAAGCTGCCAGGACAAGGCCTGGGGGAAGCCCTGCACAGAACAGTTACTGATTCCTCCTGCTGATAGCATCATGAAAACTGCCCTTTCCAACTCCTGTGAAGCCATCAGACCACGCACATCTGCCCTGGCAGGGGCCTAAGGAGCTTAGTACAGGTCTTCTACATCTCTCCTCTCAGTTGTAAGATGCAGGATGATGTCTCCTGTGGGCTGCTACCCAAAGCAGCTGCCCAGAAGAACCACCTTTTCTATGCAATGAACTTTAGGGCACCTGCTCCTCAGTTTCTTTTGCATTATGGTATTCCATACGCTTGAAAGTAACAGCAGAAAAGAAGTGGTGAATAATACATGTCCTGGGATAACTTTCTACTTTCCCCAGACTTTTCACTATCCTGCTTTCCTGCCCCACCACAAAATGGCTGGCCCCTTTGTACATTCAAAAGCCACACACAGGGCTGGATGCCTCTTGCTGTGAGCGCAAGCCCCATAACATTCAGGAAGGGGCACAAAAGAGGAGTAGTCCAACTCAGATCCATTAAAAAAGAAAGTGTGTATAAAATAGAAAATCTAAAGTAGAAAAAAATAAACCAAGTACAGCCGCCTCCTTCAGTGCAGAAAATGTGGTCAAGGAAAGTTCTTCTCTTGTTTAAGTGTATTGTGAAGAGAGAAAGACAAAAGGAATGAAATGAGTTACCTTCCCTGACAGACCTTGCCTTTGAATCACATATTTGAAATGTATCTTATGCTCCCCTACTGCTCACAGTTTCCTAGACACCGAATCTCCCCGTGTTTTTTCACCACTGCCCCAGTACAAGTGCCAACCAGCACCCTCTTCTGCTTTGTCTGATCTTTAATTGGGCTCCCCATCTGCTCTGTCGTACCTGTCATTTAGGCCTGGTTTCTTTAGCACGAAAGCAAAACATGAAGGGCTCTGCTGCGGTGAGCTTAACTCTCTCTAAGGAGCAAGATTGTGGTGTCTTTCCCTACTCAGTCTTTAGAGACTTGCACAGGTGGGATTTATCCTACCCACAGATGCAGTGCTGAAAACACAAGCCTACCCCTGTGCAACTTACACACTTACATAAAAGGAAGAAAAAAATAGTATTAAAAGCACTCAGAGACATCATAACCATCACTCTATCTCACTGTATCACCTCTTTGCTGGGAGGAGCTGCACAGTGAAGACCCAGAGCAGGAAGCCTTGGGGCAGCATTCACTTGCTCTGACAACCCAAGGA